TCTCTCTCTTATCTTTATTCTTACTTGCAATTATATTAACTGTGAAAACTAACCTATCCATATTCATTACTGCTCACTCTACCCACCAAAATTCCGCACACAATCTAAAGTTCACAAGGACTCTAGATTAACACTCATTTTCACGTTTTCAAAAGAAACGAAAAAGATTTTAAATCTGTAACAAAGTCTATTCACCCCCCCCCCCTCTAGACTTTGTATTTCACCACTTGGGGACCACCAATTGGTATCGGAGCTGTCTTCTCACTATCTACGTTTAGATTAACGAGAAGCGATCAAAATGGTGAACAATATGGATCACGGTTTGCCCAAGTTTTCTCTTCTAGGTTATGATGATTGGAAGATCATAATGGAAGCACACCTCTACGCTCTACATGATTGCATGTGGATGGTGCTTGAGGATGGACCCTTGAAAATCCAAATGGAGAATCCTGAGAGGAATCCAGCAACTCCAGACGTAGTCCAGTACATTCCAAAGCCCAAGGAAAAATGGGATGATAGAGATTGCAAAAAGCACAATCTGGATAACGTTGCCAAAGCAGCCATCTTCAAGACACTTGACCCCATCACCTTCTCCAAAATTAAGCACCTCAAGACTGCCATGGAGATATGGCAAGGTCTTGGGAAGCTATGTGAGGGTTCAGAGGACTTGAGAAAGCAGAAGATAGAATTCCTGCTTGAGAAGTTCAAAGGCTTCAAAATGCTTCCCGGAGAATCATTTGATATGCTGGATGAAAGATTCCACAAAATCTTGAATGATCTTGTATCACTTAACCACGTTCTTTCTCCCAAAGAAAAGAATGTAAGGTCGCTGAGATCTCTTCCAACTGAGTGGTACACCAAAGCCACAGCCATGGAAGAAGGAAGAAATCTGGAGAACTACACTGTCCAAGGTCTTCTTGATGAGCTCGGAACCTATGAGCACGAGCTGAAGAAGAAGAAGGAAGAACAAGTCACTCCCTTCCCCACGGCACTGATGACAGCTCCAAGAGTACCATCAAGTGAAGGGACATGCCCAAGGAACTGTGACACGCCTTCCTCCAGTCAGCCGTCAAGTTCAAAAATGGAGAACTACGATGAGGAATTTGCCATGATGGTCAAGCAATTCTGGAAGTTCAAAAAGTTCTTCAAGAAAGCTGACTTAGTCAAAAGGCCATCCAAGGGAAAGCCACAGGTAAGTGACTCTCCTCCTGAATCTTATTTGTGTTACAATTGCAGGAAGCCTGGCCACTGGAAGTCAGCGTGCCCGTACCCAAAAGTGGAGAAGTACGGAGAAAGAGAAAGGATCGAGAAGAAAAAGAAAGCAATGGTTGCTGCTGAAAGTGACGAGTCATCCAGCTCAAGCTTGGATGAAGAAGCTCTCATCTGCATGGAGCGCAGAGTTGAAAAGTCCAACCATGAGGATAGGTGGACTATGTCAGAAGATGACACTCTCTGCCTAATGGCCAAAGATGATGTTGATCAAGAGGTAACCTCACAAACCGGCCTCCTGCTCATCTTCTTATGAAAGCATACCAACTTCTGAAAATCTTTTTGACCAGTTCAAAAAGATGATGAAAGACTTTGAGGAGATAAATCTCAAACATTTTTCCTTAACAGAGGAGAACAAACTATTGAGTGAAGAGAATCTCAAGTTGACTGAAGGTCGGAAAAGTCAACTGAATGAGATCACTCAACTCAAGACTGAAAATGAATCTCTCTCTGAAAAGGTGAAATCCCTTAACAAAGAACTAGGGACTCTTAAGTCCAAAGAAGCAGTGGATAAGCTTCTTGAAACGACCAAACATAAGGGTCGTGAAGGACTTGGGTTTGACCCCTCCAATTCTAAAAGGAAAGGGAAAACAACCTTCATCC